AGCGCAAATTGCTTCATGGCCGATTAAGCTGACAGATCGCGAAAAATATTTAAAGCACGAATAATGTACTCGATCTTCTGTCTCTGTCGACCACCGGGGATAATAATTTATTATAAAAGTCGTCATATCCTTTCTCTCTTTCATCGCAATGGAATTCACGCGAGTCTATTCCTTATTTCCCGCGGCGCAACGTCGTGGGACGTCGCATTTCGTGACGCACGAGAGAGAGAGAAAGAGAGCCTCCCTCGGGAATCAGATATAATAAGAATGCAGCGTCAAGAGAGCAGATGCATCCCGTGTGCAAGCAGGTGCAACGGGAGTGGCGTTGAAAAAAAAAAGAGGAGCATTAAGGAAGGCTCTCGGGGCAGTCTCGGTGGTCGGAATGTGGTTTTTACGCGGATGTACCACGTGAAAGGGAGAGGTGGCTGTTGAAAACGAGGGAACGGGAAGGCGTCGTGACGGAAGACGGTCGGTAACCCCTTTCTCTTCCGTTTTGTCTTCGTGCTTACGATGCAACGCATAATCGCGAATATCGCGAATAAGGATGTGCGAATCGACAAGCGTCAGCGAATCATTCGTTATTCTATCCGAGAGAGATTCAAAACTCCTCAAAAATGTTCGAGACATTTTTTTTTTTTTTTTTTTTTCATCTACACGAGAAGCTTTGCAACTGCCTCGCTTAATGGGACACGTTTAATCGATCTTCCCTTCAGTCATTCAAATATTACATCTATCGTATATCAATGTTCGATTATTTCCTTCACGCCTTTTTTTTTTTCGTTTCTCTACCAAAAAATAATCTCATTTCTAATAAAAAAAATAATAATGTTGAAGCAAAATCATTTTATAGATAATCAAACTTTAACGCTGTTCTCTCGCGTGACATCAAACAAGCTTTCTTCGATCATGCGTGTGTGCTCTGAAAAAAAAATTGTTAACTTGATTAAATCCGTTCTAATTACTAATTAATAATTTTCTTAATTGAAATATTTATATATTTAAGTCAAATATGACATTAAATCCAACATGACATATATTTGACTTAAATACTTAAATATTTCAATTAAAAAAATGGAGCGTAGGGGTAAAAAAAGAAAAGGATACGACGTACACGCCGGTCAATGGACAATGCTGAAAGAAAAGAGACTTGTGGTGGACTTACGTTACCATAACGACAGGCGGTGTGCTTTGCGATGCCATTGCCCTCGGTGAGGGCATTATGCATCTCTCTTCCCCCCGCGCGCGCGCACGACGGGGTGATTCGGTCTGCGAAACTTCTATTAGGGTGGTCTTTGTGTGGCATATCGGAGAAGGGTGCACTGCTCGCGAGCGCGTCATGTCGGGCAAGGACATTTAAAACTAGACAAATGGATAGAGAGAGTCGCTTTCGATTTCTCGGCTAATTTTTATTTTCGAAAACATCGAGATCCCGGAGAATAGCTTTGCAATTATAAATAAATTTAAAAAATATTTATCTCCAAAAAATAATTTATAAAAAACCAAAATGATTTAAGTTACATACAAAAAACTTGGTAAATAATAGAGAATATTAAAGGCTTTTTTTAGACTAAAAATAAGCTTCCGAAGAAAACAAATATAATATAGAATCATATTCTCTCCCTTCAGTTAATTTCAAGTAGATTTTACTTTGATGGATTATTTATTATTTAATCTTATATTTAATCTCTCGCACACACATGTGTCAAGCATGTACAAATGTCAAAATTCTAGTCAGCTCTGAATAAATATTTAAAAAATAATAATCAATTGAAAAATCCTTAAAAATGTGAATCTATAATAAATATTATGGCATTAATGACTTTTAGTATATACACACAGAAAAATACATACTATATAAAAGTAAATATTACTTGTTTCAAGTATTTCAAAAGTTCATATATCAAATTTATTCAAAATATATTCTGAATCCTAATAAATTTAATACTTCAATCAAGAATATTAAATTATATAATTGAAAGAAATACATTAAATTTTTCTGATCTAATAAATTTTCTTACATTAAATTAACCATATCTGACTTTTCTTCGATAAAATTTTATAATATTCTTCGAAAGAAAATATTTACTTTTTTTGAGTACATGATAATGAGTATTTCTAAAATTTGTGACAAGTCTATTTTAAGACTATTATTAAGAAAATATTCTTTGTTAAAGATAACTGTTACTTAAAAGAAGTAAAGTAAACTGAGTAATCGTTTGACTTAGCAATAGAATAATATTTTTCTGTGTGTACGAATAATAAATGAAAAAATGTGAAAAATGAAGCGTAACAGTATCGCGTGAAGCATAGCTAAGGCGCTAACCGATCGATATAAGCGACTGATGGTGATAAAATAAATTCCCGGGCGGCAAAGGAGACTAATACTATATAATTGAATTATCTCTCGTAGACTCCTCGAATACGTCCAGTATGTCGGAACGTATCGACTGATACGTGTCGAATCTAAAACTTATACAGTCATCCTGGCGTGCACGGTGTATATAATTGAAACTGTTTTGACAGAAATAATCTGGCGGCTACGCGATTTAAATTGCGCCAGAATAGACCGTTTCCGTTCGACTAATAACCGCTAATAACGGATTTTGACCTCTTCCAAGCGTGTAGCTCTTTGATGTTTATAACGGCTCGAGTAAATGTGCTGCTAAAAATATCAAGATAATGCAAAGGCACGTGCGTATAAGATATTCAACATAGATATCTATTTCTCCACCTGTGCGATGAAAACGAAATGAAAACCGAGATGAGAATTAAAGGTTCTCGTTTTACGCCGTGTCATTTATCTTTAAGATACGAGATGTTAAAACAAGATGTTAAAATATTGTTTATCCGAACATAAACACGCGTAACGACATAACTTGAATGCGAGATGCCCATTGGACAAGAGGCAGTTACATTAGTCATAATTATTAATCATAATTATATTTATCTGTCATTCGTAGATGGATGATTTACAGACCTACGTGATCTTTGAAGAGGAGTCACGCTGATATTTTGCATGCAAGTTAAGTATATATTATGCCTTTGACAACTGTTTTTCCCCTCTCTCTCTCTTTATCTCTCACCCTGGCCGCGCCGTAATTTAATTATATTTCTTCCAGGTCATGATGTATCCACTTACAGCTGAGGACGTGCCGCGATGTTCACATTTCAATTCAACACAACAGAAATAGCTTCTGAGATGAGAATCTACCGCGGGTCATTCTCATTTGGCACAATGGGAATCGCAGGCAGTTCCACGCTTATCCGCATGTTCTTGCAAACATTGACGACGGCACGACGTGAGATCATCACCGTTAGGTGCGCAATACGAACATATAATTTTACATCTTTCCGTTTAAAGTCGATTTTGCAAACCTATTGCTCGCAAACTTAATGATTTGAAACTTTTTTTTTTTTTTTTTTTTTTAATTCTAAAGACTGATAAAATAGACGAAACTTGCGCGCAATTTTTCACAAAGCGCTTTATATTACGGAATTTATGACGGGAATTTTATGTAACACGCGTGTGTATTTTTTTCTACTATTGTGTCTGTGAGCGTGCGCGTACATATGTGTGCATATATTTTTTTTTCGGAATTTTCCGAAGCTATGTAACAGTTAATCGCTAATTCATCGCGTACCTCATGCAGAAAAAAAATGTCCGCATATCAGGTATGATTTAGCGCTGGAATTAACCTTGGAAGTCACGAGACTCTACGTAGTTTCATTAATTTATTACGTGTGATATTAAGTGATCGATATATATATATATATATATTGCTACATTGCTTTTTAATTTTTTGACGATTTTAAAACTAATCTTTTTTTTTTTTTTTTTTAAGTGAACACTAAACGCGTATCATTTATTATATTTATTATTCCACCGTATTTTATAAAATCGACACGTCATTTATTTTTCCCTTTCTATTATTATGCAATCGTCACGATTGATCGACTCGCCCCAGCCTTTGTAACGAGATAATTACTTAATCGCGTGGCGCAAGACATTTTAATTACTTCTCCCGCGAGTACAGCTTCTCTAAAGCACCCGCTGTGTACACCGTGATGTCGCATTTCCTGACGACAACAGGAGCGAGGGAACAGGGGTGAGAAAAATACTCCATTCCCCTCGTCGCATTCCAGATGACGATTGACCGCGATAGATAATATTATTCGCGCGCGTATACCACAGCACATATATATTATAGAAATTATTCGCGTTCCTCGAATGACATTCGTTAAGTCAAGTGTGCATTTATATGTCATCGTCTACAGGTAGTAATACAGCAACAAGTGGTGCGAGGCATTAATTTTGCGTGTAAGCCGTTGCTCGAGGAGTCGACCGTGATTGCGCGGAAGTATCAATTTCAAGGGGAGAGAGGGAGGCGGGTGAGGAAAGGGGAGGATTTCGCTCTCTCGAAACATACGGATACGCTGTATGTACATGTGTATTCGTGTTGCCGACTCGCGACCTTCGCGGTTGACTCAGGGACTAAATCGAACCAAAACATTCCGAGGCTCGTCGAGCGATCCGACTAATGTTATGAATAAACTTAAGTAGAGCGTATTCATTATCGAAATTTCGATAGGAAAAAAGTCTTATTTTATATATATATATTTGCGTCTTTCTCTCTCGCAAGAACAAGATGTAGTGTTGGAAGTAACAAGCTGAGCAACGCTTTATCGACGTATTTTGAGAGAGAAAGAGACGAGGGGGAGAGAGTGAGAGAGAGAATCTCTGTAATTTGTCGCTAACGAATGCTATCGCGAGTACTCTATATAAGGTATAAGAATAATCGTCGAATCGAGCCTCCGAAAGAGACGCCCGAGAGTGCATCCTCCGCCGTGAGAAAGCTTAAGCTTAACATCGTCCTGCCCTTTCCACCCTTTGCCGTCCTCTCACTCTCTTTCTCCTTCTTTCTCTCACACACTACACACACTCTTTNNNNCTCTCTCTCTCTCTCTCTCGTAATCTCGTTCTTCTCATCTTCTCAACTTACGTTCGTATAATGCTCCTGCTCTCTCCTCCGGCAGCTGTCTCAGGACAAGGTCGCACCCGTTGCACTGAACACAAGTCGTCGGCGACCTGGAGCCTCGCGCACAACAACACACCGCGAACGAGAGGACGAAAGCGCTCCTCGACGCGACGCGACGCGCGCTCGTGAGAGATTCAACCGCTCCGGTTTTTTGCGCCAGACGTCTGTACACATTCGTACCGCGCGTCGCGGGGGATAGGGGATCTATCACCGCGGGGGGGAGGGATGTGATCGCGAGAAGGAGACACTCCGACGATGATCGCTCGGCGCCGATTGCCGCGCATCTGCGGCCACCGAGCATCGAGGCATTCGCGCAGGAGGTTCGCGGCGCGAAAGGATCGCCGCGCATGCGCAACGCGAAACGCGACGACAAGTGTACCGCCCTATCGTGGACCAATCGCGGACAGTCTTCGAACATCGATGCGCATGACACGTCGCTCGCGTCTGTATATATAGGCTGTGGTCGGGAAGATGCTAGAAATGCTTCGAAGTGTTTGATTGACCAATCAGGACAAAAAGAGTAAAGATTTCTTTATTCTCATTGGTTAATGCAATGCTTCGAAGTATCTCTAGCGTATTCTCGACCGCAGCCATAGAGGGTGATTCACAAATTATCGTTAATTAGCGTTTTCGAATAAAAACTTTATCTTTATCGCTCTAAGAGCAATTAAACTCAATTTCCGAATGAACTTATGTTCAATCGAAAATGTGTTTAAATCTGAATTAGGTTCTAGTTATAAAGAAACACTAAAGTAAAATAGCGAATCGACATCATTTAATACTCGCTCTTACAGAATTTTTGTTTTCGAATTAGTATCTCAGACAAATATATAAAGCAAGTCGAAATCGAGGGGGGAATCGAGGGTATATACTATATACTATATATATTATATAGTATATATAATCAAATATTTTTTAAATATATATATTTAGTAACAAACAATACTAATCAATTGATAATTACAATCAAATGTTCAATTGTACAATTTAGCTTTTTTTCGCACATGCAACGTTCCAGAATCATTAAAAAGGGCACACTCCTTCCGAAATGCAATTTCTTTCAAATCGTATACAAAATCGTTACTTAGAGGCTTCATTCGATTACGTATAGGACGTTGGTTCTTCAAATTATCGAGCGTAGAAGATACTTCTGACATCGAGCGAGATGCTTCTCTAGCTTCGTCAATGGATGCAGTACTATTTTCATTATCATTTATACATTCGCTCGTATCGCTATCAGATTTTAATGCAGACTTATCGGAGTCTGTTTGCGCGGTCGCATTTGTGTCGCTTGAACCGAATATCACTTCCATCACCATTCGTTTAAGATCAGGATGAGCATCTAATTTTCCTGATCCGCTATTCATCATATATTCTGCCAAATTTTGTACTGTCACAGTTTTATCACCTTCTTCTTCAACAATATCTTGATATTCGACATTTTCGCTTGACTCTTGTTGTTCATTTGTAGTAGCAGCTTCATTTTGTACAGCGATATACGTATTCGAATTGTTTAAGTCTACGTATTTTTCCGACTGACATGACGATGCAGTTAAATCCATAATGTCGGAATCATTCACTTTCTCCCCTGTATTCATTACGTCCATGACAATATTTTCATTACATGTATATTCATTTTGTGGTATTTCAACTACTAATTCTGCTATAATTGCGCGATTATTTTGCGCGTTATGTATTTTATTACAATGCGCGACGCAATCGCATTTGACGAAACATTTAAAATCACACAACTTGCAACGATATCGATTCCAACCGATATGAGTTGCCATATGTCTACGTAGATTGGGCATGGATGTAAACTTTCGTTTACATAAAAGGCACTGCAGTTTCTGAAAGTTTGCAATGGTAGCTATTTTTTCCATTAGTAAAGTTTGACTCTTTTCGTTCGACTGTATTGAACACGAAGATTCCAACTTGGAATTATCCTCCTGTATTTCAATCACATCTCTCTCTAAAATTTAACAAATTATTACAATTTGATTAAATTGATAAATTAAGAATAATATCAGATTTACATGATAGCTTAAGAAAATATTTATATATATAAAATTATATTTTCTATTTATTTAAATAAAAGATTTTTTTATTGCATGTATTGGATGTATATATGTAACCAAAATTTATTACAATTACAAATTAAATTACTCTCACCTTTTAATTCAGTCAACAGCATCTCATCAGATTGGTGATCTGATATTTTTCCTTTGTTATTTTTTATCTTCACAATGACAGAGTTAATTTCACTTATATTTGTACATACAACTTCGGATGATTGTAAATTTGTATTGGACATAGAATTATCTTCGTTCTCATTCTCAGAAGACTGTAATTTGCTATTATCGATATTTTGTGTTATCAATGGTGTAGTTTTATGAAGATCGTTATTGTTATCCACAGAATTGCACTTAACAGGATAATTAAGATCTTTTTGGAGCATATCCCAATCTTCTTTACTAAGACTAGAAATACGTTGAACACGAATGGATGTTTCGTTTTCCTCACAAATCTCAGGAGATGACGATGCACATCCAGAGTGAATATCTAATATATATTTAATGCATTATTATTAATTGATATATATTATTAATAATTGTCTTATTAACGTCTAATATATTTTTCTAACCAGATTGCTCTACAATCGTAGTAGCTGCTGCATCAACATCTTCTTTTTCACACATCTTATCACATGTTGAGTCTGCTAAGGTTTCATTAGATTGTCTGATTGTAGTTGTAGTTTCATTGCACGCAGCTATTGGTGTTTGACAATATTGCAAAGGAGTTGAGAAAGGAACTCTTGTCTTAAATCTTTTTTTACGTCTACCACAATTTTGAAGCTCTACAGTAGATTCTATATCATTTATTGATTTCTATAAAAGATATCATTATTATATTTAATGTGTACTTTTCTGTTATGATAAAAAAAATTATTAAAAAGTATTAACGTAGAGTTTACCTGAGTTTTATCGCTATTCTTCATTGTTATATTGTCCAAAGCAGATGCTTTGATTGCACGAACATTTTCTAAACCTTCCATCACAGTTGTTTCTCTATGAAATGCTTTTTCTTGAATATGAGATCTTAATTTACGCACCTGTTCATTAGTCTTTCTATGAACTGTAATTTGAAAATGACAGAGATAGAGTATATCAAATATTTTTTAAATCTGCTATAGTGTGTATTTAGAAATGTGTTAAACTTTGGCAGTAAAAATAATATATATTACATGTTATATGCAACATATCTTTATCTACTTTATAATTACCTTTATATAAATGCCGATAAACGCTCCATGTATTTGCAAATGTACTTGTACAGCAAGGACAAGGATAACATATGCGCTGAGATGTATGTAGTGTTTTCATATGAACAGTTAATGTCTTCTTTGTTGAAAATTTTGCATTACCTAGAAATAAAGACAAGGAATTTCTCAGATTTGTTAAATATTTTATAATTATATTAAAAAATAAGAACCGTTTATTTACATATTGTGCAAGCTAAGTTATTTGTAGATAATCTATGTGCTAATAATTCATTCTCCTCGTCGCTCATATCCATTTGAATAGGACTATCACTCTTTTCCAATTGATTTTCAAGTGTTTGTTCTTTTAATATGATGGTATTCTCATCTATCCTATCTTGTAATTTTGCTACCTAAAAGCCAAAGAAGTAATGTTACAATCGTTATAGGAATAAAAATAATAATCGTATGTGCAATGTAATTCTAGGTGTACATTCGTAAATAATAGATGATAAGTAGTGCTAAGTAACAAAAATTAACGGATTAATATAGCACCTACCTGTCCTTTCATTAAATCCATAGTATCGACCATTGTGTTTGATGATTTAACAGTTTGATATAGTGCAGAATTGTTTGTGTTTATAGATTCCAAATAAATATGTTGGTTACTTGGAGCGTTAAAAATTGTGTTTCCTGATTCACTGGAGACATTACTATCCATACTTTCTTCTCTTTTTTTATTGAGCATTTCTATTACGGTACTGAGATCTTTTTTATGTGATTCTTTTGACACCTGACTTCTAAGTATTCTATCATTCTTAACGCTATCTTTAATTTTTTTCTGGTTCGTCTTACATATTTGAATTATTGATTCTTTACTAGAGTGCTAAAAAAAAAATTTTTGTTATATATGTGGATAGTAATAGCAATGACTATATATAAATAAGCATTTTCTACTTACATTATAATTGTGCAATATATTTCTATGTAGTGTAATATCAAATTTTGTCCTGCAATATTCTCTCTTATGAGATATCAAGTTTACGATACTCCTAAATAAACTATGACAAGTACGGCACTCATATATAATATTGCATTCATATGATAAGATAGATTTAACCTCGTCAGTGCCATTCTCAAGGAGCTTACTAACTTGGCATAGATCAGATACACTTGTATCAATGGGTTTGCGCAAGCTGGATAAATCAGGACTAACTATACTATTTGTATCCTTGGTAGAAAGTTTTACTTTGCCAAGTTTCTCGTTTTTCTTCTTGGTCTTACCCTTGGTTTGTATAGATTTCATTTTCTGTAAATATGAGTTACACTTCAACCAATATATAATATTTTCAAAGTCTTTGCAGATTTTTAATTACAATTTAAAGCTTTTCTTACAATACACCTATATTTGATACAGAGTGGCTTGTATATTATTCCGCTACACATCTCTGACAAAATCTACATACAGATCTCTTACACTGTTAATTGCATAACACATGAGACATTTGTAATTAACACATAATATCTACAAAACTTGTACACAATGTTACATAAAAAATATCCTCGTGGAGATATAAAAAGATTCCCCTCATATGTGAAATTCATCAAATTTAATGGGCTTTACTTACATATGTACATATAATATATAAATATATATATATAGAATTTTCTCAAATTGTTTAATATATTGAGTACTGATATAAATCATACCCTAAGCTGATTCCTAAAATGTTACGCTTGCGAGAATGGTAGAACGTCTTCTCATCTATCCGTAGAGAGCGTATGTACGTTTATCGAGCATCCGAAAAAATCCGCAGAAACGTAATGTTTTCCCAGATAGGTACCACAGTGTGCGAAGATGCGACCGACGAGCGCGTGTCTCTCCTTCATTTTACTCGGCAAGCTCGATGTTCATCTCTTGCATATCAACCGATTTCGAGAGAGTATGAACGACTTTAACGGTTTCGTGCAACAACGTGCGACTCTATGCACGTGCGATAGAGAAATTCTTTATTAAATGCTACCGCGTATATCGCGAATCTCATCGTCGCGCGACCTCCATTTTTCCCGTGCAAGTTCTCCCGTTTACCGTTTGGCAAAAGTTTGACGGGCAGCACTTTAGTTATGCCCGTACACGCGCGTCCTCGTCGTCCTCTTCCTCGTGCCGGCGAACTCAACTAGGATATTTATATCAAAATGTTTGTCACGCGAAGCTTTTCCCAGTTAAAGGTATGCTTATGTCACTATTAAATTATTGATATATGTAACCTCCGTAATTATGTATCTCTCAAAATAACTTTCTGTTACACTTTTGATATTCTAACTTGAAATATTAAGCTTCCCTCTATCATATATATAAGTGTTGTATATATATATATATTTACTAATACTAGTACGTATTTTTTAGAACTCGACATTAATGCTAACGCAAAAAGTGCTCCAGATTCGTGGAGATCTTGGCACTGCCAGACTGCTACCAGCAGTTTCTACGATGCATCTATTAAAACCTAAGAGTATCTATACAACTGCGCATTGCAAATCTACAGTTGAAGTTATACAACCATTAGGACCTATAGAAAGAGTGCTAAAAAAGATTGGTGTCTTAGACATCCAGAAATATGTAATTACAGTTTCTCTATATATTAAATTTGTTTTTTATTGCTTTGAAATAAAAATAGTGCATATAGTATATGTATGATATGCATTGTTACAAAATGATAAAAACATTTCAAATTTGGACTAAAATAGTTAAATTTATATTAATGATTTATTAATTCATTACAGAGATATATGGCAGTTGGCAATCGAGTATATGAAAATGTAGTATCTCAAATAGATTATCCCTTTTTTTACAAACGTAAGTTTCTTTTACTGTAATAATAAATTTCTTTTTATGTTTTCTTTATGATACACTAAATTACACATATAAAAAAATATGTACAACTTAAAATATACATTGTGTGAATATTTTGTTAAAAATAACATTAAATATTTATTTATTTACTTTAATATCATTTAATTAAAAATCGTTATTAATAAATCTATATTCTCTTTATTTTTTCTATTACAATATTGTTATAATTTTCAAATCTAATCTTGACTCTTATAATCTATAATCTTAATTTTAAATGTGTTCTCGATAGATTTCAACATGGCAGATACATTTTTCTCATGGTTCCTGGTGACAGAACTTCATGTATGGATGATAATAGTTCGCTACATGGCTGAAGGTAATGCTGGCAAATTAATTAGGAAAAGTATAGTAACTACACTATGGCAAGACACAAATGCCAGGGCAGAAAATCTTGGTGTAAGTAACATTATACTTTTAATGCATTATATCATATATTTTTCTATACATATTATGCATATCATAGTTTTTTACTGATTATTAAATATGGTAATTGCAGAAAATCACTGAAAAGCTTAGGAATAAGCAAATAAAAGAAATATCAGAACAATTCAATGCTGCTTTAATAGGTTACGACGAAGGTATACAATCTGATGATAAAGTATTAGCAGCAGCATTATGGAGGAGATTCTTTCATTTGGAATGCAATAATCCAGAACATATTGAAACCCTTATCATTTATGTTAGAAAACAGGTAAGTTTTAATAATGCATATATTTTTAGCAATTTATTCCATTAATGATGTAAGTCAAAATAACTTGCCATAACTTGCTTGATATAGCTGTACTTTACAAAAATGTCACTTAACTCGTTTCGTTTTTTATTCATTTTGCAGATCTATTTATTTGATAATTTACCATCTCATGAAATTTTAAAGAAACCTATTTTAAAATTAATAGATATAAAAGATGTATGTAAGCATCAATATTAATTGTTTTTTACACAGTGTTAATATATATATATTTAATAGATGAGTTATCGAAATGCGTACTTGTAAATACAGATCATAATAATACAATAAAAAATTACTGTAAAAAATGTAGTAATAAATATAGGACGTTGTTTTTTTTTGCAAAGTGTTATTTTCTCTTTAAAAATACTTTTTTTACAGTATTTTTATTACAATAGAGTATTGCATCAAATCAAATCGATAATTATCTATAATTATAAATCCAAGATACTAATACTGATTCTTAAATAACATATTTAATTGCAATATTTTGCTTGATCCCCTAGGCTTGTAATTATACGACACATGTAAGTTCTCATGCATTCCATATTGCACTCATTTCTCAGTGATGGTTCAGCACGTTTGAAAAAGTTCCTAAATCAATTATTATTGAATTATTATTGACACTATATTTAAAAGATATTTCATATATAAATCTCTGTATATTACCTATAGTAGCGACTTAACAGATTGTCATCATGTGCTAGTTTAGATAGCATACTGTGTAACGAATCGTATGACAAGTCGGGAATATCATATTCCTCTTTAAATGAATACGACTTGTACCATAATGGCCGTTGAGCAGCGTTCTCGTTTGCTAAAGTTAAATTGTACATCCAGTTCTCTATATCTTTTACTGCCTGTAATAGTTTCATCATATGTTAATATATAAAGTTTAAGAGTCTATGTACATTGTATTTTATTGAAAAACGGTAGGATACTCACATAATTTTTGCTATCAACAATATATAGCTTATAGTTGGGATTTAAATTCGAGAAAGCAGTTGTGCTACCGCCATTCCAAGCAACATTATTTATCATTGTACTATTGTGGCTACTATAAAACAACTGTAACTCGTCGTTATGTGTATGACCGTTAAATTGTGCTCTAATAATTCGGGCGTATCTATCTACAATCTTAAGATATTCCCTTTTCCACGTAGTTTGACACTCCTTATTGGCCGGGATATGCGCCAATATATGCACAAACTCGCCGTCTTTTTCGGCCTGCAAAAGCGTATCTGCTAACCACTGCAATTGACCGTTAGAATCTTTCGGTTGATACCACAACCACCTATAAATTGTTCTTTATTATATCAAAAATGATTCATATATTTAATTGTATGCTATCTTATGATATTTGCATTTATAAGATAAAGTAAATACATGATGATCTAAAAAAAAATATATGTATTATATATATACAGAGTGAATCGTAAAGATCGTAATGAATATGCAATATTTACTTATCTTGTGATTATTCTAAACTGATAAATAGACACAGGAATATCGGCAAGGTAAGCAAATATTACCCGCATATTCATCAAAACTGATTCGCGTGTTATATTATATATTATATGTTCTATAACATGTTCTAACTTTTATTCTTTTTTAGATCATCCTATGTATATATCCTTTGGAGATAAAGAGGGAAAAAAGAGAAAGGAAAAGCAAGTGTATATATATAAAACAAATAATTGTTAAATAAGACTAAAAAAGGATTATAGACTCACCAGTTGTAACTATAACATACGTTACTGTTTAGTGCTATAATTCTAAATCCTTTTTTAGGTGAAAGCGTATAATATCCGCCTTTTAGAATGGTAGAACGAGTAGATTCTGGTAACCATCCAAAATTGATCCATAAACGAGCCATCATGTTATATAGCCATTGTGTATTTAATTCGTTATCAGTGATAGTATTAGGCGCGAATCTTGAAGAAATTTTTTAAAAGGATTAATATCTAAAAATGCGACAATATAGATGGAAATCATAACAAAAGATATATCTATATATTTGTGCATAAACGATCAAAAAACTTACAAATTTAAAGGATGTGGCTCATGGTTACCCAGAATAGGATATACAGGTATATTTTTGAATGTTTCATAAATTTGAGAATAGCTCTTGTTAATACTCTCGGTATTTCCCTCGAAAGAGGTTTCCCAAACACCATGATCTACTATATCACCAGTGAAATAAACGTAAGAGATATTCTGTGGATTAAAATTCAAAACAATGACACATTTTTGATAAGAATTACAAATAATATAGAATACAGATTTTTTTTTCTGCATACTTGATGTGTATCCCTAATTTGTTCTAGAACATCAACAACGGCATGCCATGGGCTATCGCATTGATTATAATGCCCCCAGTAGCCTGCCACTTCGTTGCTTCTATTTGTATTATTTTGTCCTTTTCGACAACATATTGGTTCATCACAATACGCGTTACCGTAAGGTTCATAGTTAGGATCGTAATGAATATCCGTTATTTGCACTATATTTATAATCTCTTCGCTCTCGTCAACATCGATTAATTTTGGAGGACCACTATCAATATTGATTGTCCAATTGAACTCATCATTGATAAGGGGGCAAGATTTTGACTCCAATATAACTCCGCAAATTGTGGATCCCGTTAAATTCGGTTTTGCATCTATGATATACAAAATTGTTGGCTGCAAGTATAAAAAGATTTAGGGATAAAAGATTAAATATGTGTATCAAAATGCTTAATAATAATGATCAATAATAACAGTGATAACAAAATAATAAGATATCAGTCAAGTATCATCAAAAACTTATATTACGATGATATAAAAACATGATAAAAATTTTCAATTTTGACATTACTTTATTCATATATATATACATATATGAGAGTATGATAATTTACTTACCAAATTAAGAGTAACCGAACCATTGCAGACTCGCTCGGTTTCAATATTCATTCGAGTACAAAGCTTAATTACGTTAGATTTTATATCATTTGCTGACATGCCTTTCTTACGAGATTCTATGAAAACATCTACAATAGAGCGACATATTACGCAAATAGCCGTGCTTCTTTCACCGGTGAAACTATGCCAATTTTCATGTTGTAAACTAGTCGGAATTGTTAGATTATCGAGCAAACGTTGAAATTCCTCAGACTCTTCTCCTGTTTTTACCCAATTATTAATTTCATTGGTAAAGCGTAATATCAATTCATCTGCAAAACACAGATAAACCTCATTATTTCTGCAGCTCAAAATATAAACAAATTCTTTATTTTATATATATTTTATAACGATAAATAATAATATAATAAAATAAGAAAATATGATAATAT